CCCGAGCCGCTCTCCGCCGCTCCAGGTGCCGCGGGGCGCGGAGGAGGAGCCGGAGGAGCCGCTGCTGCGGGAGAACCCCCGCCGCTTCGTCGTCTTCCCCATCCAGTACCACGACATCTGGCAGATGTACAAGAAGGCCGAGGCCTCCTTCTGGACGGCGGAGGAGGTGAGGGGGCGGCGGGCCTCGGCTCCCCCGGCAGCGCCCTCCCTGCCGGCCGCAGCCTGCAGGGCGGCCCCGGGGCTCCGGTACGGGCCTCCTGCCTGACGTCCCCATCTCGTCATTGATTTCATCGCTGCTTCTGGCAATGTTTTAGGTGGACCTTTCCAAAGACATCCAGCACTGGGAGTCCCTGAAGCCTGAGGAGAAGTACTTCATTTCTCACGTCCTCGCCTTCTTTGCTGCCAGCGATGGCATTGTCAATGAAAACCTGGTAAGTGTGTAAAAACAGCCCTGACAAACATCACTTTGTGAAGATAACCAGATAACTACACATCTGACATGCTTGCTGGCTGATCTAGCTTGTTTGCTAGATCATGTAGTGTTACAGCGTTACAACATGTAATGCTGTCTTACGCTAATTAGCAAATTGGGGTTGCTTTTGTAACCCGCAAGTTTGCCCCCTCCCCGCGGGGCACTGAGCGCTGCCTTACAGTAACGCGTGGCTGGTTCAGAGCACTTGTTCTGCTGCTACCCTCCCAGTGCCCTTCTCCCTGATGCGGGATAAGTAAAACTAAGAAGCTTTACCATTTCTCTTGGGACCAAAGAATAAAAACTTGGAGCTGTGAAGGGCTACTGCTCTTCGTATAGCTGTTAATAACACACACGTCTGGAATTAATCTGAAGAGGATTCTGTGGGCTGAGCAAGAGCTGTTATAGCCTCTAACATTGATGCTCTATAGCATCAATGCCTCTAACCTGCAGTTTAGTTATAAATGCTTTTGCAAACTCTCATTTACTCAAGAAGTACAAATCACAGAGGCTCGTTGTTTCTATGGCTTCCAGATTGCCATGGAAAACATACATTCAGAAATGTACAGTCTTCTTATTGACACCTACATAAAAGATTCTAAAGAGAGGTTTGTATTGCTTGATGATGAAAGGTTCAAAAGTTTTGGGATTTAAATGATGCTTATCAGTCACTGACTTTAAGGCTAATTTTAGGATTTAAACTAGTTATATAAAATACCACTGCTGCTTAAGAGGAGTTTTACTTCAGAGTCTTTTTCCTCTGAGGTGTATGAGCAAGAACTCGCTTAGATTGAGTGAAACTGAAACCACCTAATACTGAAATAAAGGAATGAAACTATGTAAAAGATGGAGCAGTCAAATAAGGGGAGTACATTAAATTACAGTAAGTGCTCATATGGAGGACCCCTGCAGCTAGTAGAAAGCTATGTAGGAAAGTTTCTCTGAGAATGAGATCACTTTTAATAAAAATGTCATCTCTAAAACCCGTGCATTTAGTTAACAGCTAGCACTTTTACATAATATGTGCTGCCCTTACTCTCTTGATTATTTTGCTTGAGGGGGAAAAAAAGCATGTCACATTTACAGAAAAGTGGCTTTTGGTCTTGATTAAAAATAAAACCAAAGTGTAAAATTTTCATAACAAGATGCATCAATCCAAGAATGATATCTTAAAGGTAAACACAGGGCTTTGAGCCATCCGGACTGAGTTATTCTGGTGTTGTCTTGTCAGACCAACACCCTGTCGAGCAAAATGCCATGTGGTATTCCAATGCTATTTGCAGTCTAGATATATTTAATTGCTGCTACTTTGTAGAAAACTGACCATGTAATTTCTACTTCGAGATGCTTAATTCCAGTAAATGTTAAAGGAAGAACTGCTTACATGGGAGCTCTAGTGCCTTGCTGCTGGAAAGTGGAGGCTGGTTGATCTGTAGCTTTGAAAGCCTTGTTCAAGTACCACACTTGCTTGATGAAACAGTACTCCCCTTGATGTTGTCATGGGAATTCATGTGAACTGGTGTTGATGTGATGGGTGGGTGATGAAAAGGTAGTTGATGGGTACAAATAGAGCTAGATGGGTGCAAAACAAGATGGGGAAGGAGACTTAATTATCAAGGTGAAGGTGGAGAGCACTTGTAAGTGAGCAAGGCCATTTATGGCAGTGAATGCTTATTGTACTAGTTGTGCTGATGTCTGATCCTAAAGAATTTTATCCTTCTCAGGGAATTTCTTTTTAACGCTATTGAAACATTACCATGTGTTAAAAAGAAGGCTGACTGGGCCATGCGCTGGATTGGGGACAAGAAAGCAACATATGGTGAGTACATCTATTGGAAGCAAAGTGAAATCCCTTTCTTAAAAAAAGATGGAGGAACCACCGCTTCTCCAGAATTCACAGTTCACAGGGATTATTGTTGTCACAGGGAGAGTGCATGCTCTCTGGTGTAAGATGTTGGTATAACTCTGGAGATGAAGAAAATAATTTTCATCTTGCACATGAGCTACTGACATGAATCTTTGTAAAATTGCTGGCATTTTGAATAATGGTAGCTCATGTGGCAATCTTCATATGCCTGGCTATATGATCAAACTGTAAATTGCTGTCATGTGTCCAGAACTGTACTGGCTGTCTATCTCCAGCAGGCACATACAGTTGGAGGCTGTAGCCCCTCTGCCTTACTGACTCTTGATGTCTCGCTTCAAAAGTGAGATGAGATGGTACAGATCATTATTTCACTAATATTAAAGCATTCTTCATGGCTGAAGTTCCTTATTAATCAAAGATGAGCAGACACTGACTTGAATCAGCTGCCAAAATGATTGCTTTTTTCAAGTGTGCAATCTTTGAAAAAGGGTGGTATTGATGGTTAACCTGGGGGAAGGGGCGTTGGCTTCAGCTAGTTAGTAGCTACTCTAATTAGTTTTTACTTCCTCCCCTTTTTTCAAAGTTTTGCTTAATGACCAGAAGCCTTTACTGTAATAGTTTTTAAGAACAAGCTATAGCACACTTGAGCAGAAATGTCTTCATTGTCCTTGGAGAGTGCAGTTCATCGGTCTGTTCACAACTTCTAGGTATTAATCCTGTCAAGTTTTCTGTGTGATAGTACTATCAATCTGTTCTTAACAGGGGAACGTGTAGTAGCTTTTGCAGCAGTGGAAGGAATCTTCTTTTCTGGCTCTTTTGCATCAATTTTTTGGCTGAAGAAAAGAGGATTAATGCCCGGACTCACTTTTTCTAACGAACTCATCAGCAGAGATGAGGTATGAATCAAATTCTAGCAGTCAAGATGGTGATGTGCCACAGTAGCTCAAAGTAATGACATTCAGTTGGAGCCTATATTTTAAACCAGGAGTATGTTTAGAAACAGGCGGTCTATAAAGCTCACTAAAGTGTACAAACGTGTCATCGTGGATCTTGGCAGCAGAGAATGAATGAACTTAGCATTTTACTTCCTCTAAAAGTAGTTTTACTTCCTCTAAAGTAGTTTAAGGGTTCTCACCAACTCTTGCACTCAGTATACCTTGCCATTTGGAGCAAGTGCAGCTGGTATTGGCTGAACTTGCTAATGCCTCTTTCTGGTTAGGTAGAAAGTTGTCTGTAGATAACACTAAAAAATGTGGAAGTACAAAGATGGTGCCTAGATACTGGACTATTTATTCTGTGCTATTGATTTGAGTGGCTCTTTTAAATCAGTGTTGCTGAAATAACTTCTTTCCAGGGCTTGCACTGTGATTTTGCCTGCCTCATGTTCAAGCACTTGATACGCAAACCGTCAGAGGAGAGAGTAAAGGAAATCATCATGAATGCTGTTCTCATAGAACAGGTAATTGTCTGCTCCTTGTTTAGGAACTTGATAGCAATTAAGCAGAAAGCTGGGGAGCTGTTGGACATAAAATTAGTGTAGACAATACAGAGTGAATACCGGTTTCTGTACATGAAGTGCTTCTATTATCTACAGGAATTCTTGACGGAGGCACTGCCTGTAAAGCTGATTGGCATGAACTGCACTTTAATGAAACAGTACATAGAGTTTGTAGCAGACCGGCTTATGTTGGAACTGGGATTTAATAAGGTAAGGCTCTAATACACTGAATCTTTCATGGGGAAAAGATAATATTAAGTTTAAATTCCTCCAGAAATCCAAATCCTAAAATGGCTGCAGCAGTCCTGCTGCTGGGTCCTGCTTGGAGACCCACAGAAGGAAAAGCTAAAGGATGCTCTGGAAAAACAGCTATATAAGAGTTTCTGTGCTTCTGTCTACTAAAAGACAGTAACAAATACAGAGAAGGCTTGGGGCAGAGATTTGTTTGCTACATAGTAAGCCCACTGATGTTGTTAGACTCCTTCCAGCTGATCTCTAATGCTCTCACGTATTTAAGATGTGAGCACCTGTAGTGACTATACAATTGCCTTTGTGTTTCAGATATACAAAGCAGAGAATCCTTTTGACTTCATGGAAAACATCTCTCTGGAAGGCAAGACCAATTTCTTTGAGAAGCGAGTAGGTGAATATCAGAGGATGGGAGTCATGTCAAAGCCCACAGACAACTCTTTCACCCTGGATGCAGAATTTTGAACTGAGATGATATAAGTGTGTATGCTGCCCTGTTTACAGTGAAACATTAAATACATTGAGTCACAGTGTGACTTGACTCCTGTACTAAAATCCCACTCTTGAAAAGTGTGGTGATATTGGTACTTTTCAGGAGGCTAGTGTAGCTCCAGCAGTAAAATCCCTTTTTTAGACTTTGCCAATGGTATTAATTCATAGAATGTTTAGATGTATCTCTTCCAATGTATGCTACTCGGTTTTGTGGAAGATACGGGCACTTTCCTTCTGCAAGATGGGAGGCTATGGGCAGTGACCACCAGCTTCTGCTGTTCTGCCCATAAACAAAGGAGCAGTTGAGAAATTCTAGTTTTAAATTTGCTGAATACTCTGTAAAAAACTCCAGAGGCAACTACATGACCTCACTGCTTTCTTAGCAGGTTTTAAGTTTACCTTTTTTACTATTGTTTTAATAGTTTGTACATAAACCTGGCACTTTAATGTTTAAAATAAAGAACTGTCTTGTAATACTCAACAATGGTAAAATGCAGGACTAAATCTTTAGACTTTTGCAACCTAACCTTCCATGATTTGTGCTTCTTTCCGGGTATGTAACTTAAAAATGGTGCTGTGAATCCAATTATATTGATTTTGAAATCTATTGAAGAACAGGAAGAAATTTGGTGCGGAAGGTGAAGAACTTAATAAGTTGGAGATTCGGGATACTGAAAAATAACATGCAGCTGGCTTTTGGACTTAATTGCTTTTTCTTTAATATCTGGGAACAGTATCTCATATAATTGTAATAAAGAGCTGGTTGGATTCAGTGTTATACTGGCTTCAGTGCTCCAATGGGCAAAGCTATGTGTTAATTTCCTTCTGAATTGCTGACTTGCCGAGGAAATGCAAGTTCTGCAGGAAATAGCTGCTTATTCATGTGGTTGGTAGGTGTCAAGTGAAACTGTTATGCTTAGCTCTGACTTTCAGATCGACTGCACTCAAGGGATGGTGTTTCAGGGTAAATTCAGCTAATTCAGGCTGGAGCAGTATTCTTAGCTTCTGCATCATGCAGTTAAGATTTGGTTTTAATACATAACAGTAGTGAAAACAGTATGTGCTGCAATATTGTTATTCCACACTAAATGTGGAGCAACAGGAATGAGTATGCTTAATACAACTTTGGTAAGGGCGTATGGTCTGTGAAGGAGTTCCCTCTGGTCTCATACTAGAGTTCCTGCCAGTGATCTGCAGTGAGACTAAATAACAATGGGATAGGCTTGAAATTAGCTACTGCCTTGGTGAACACAAGGAGTTTATTCCATGATCTAATCTAATGCCTAACTAACACAGACTGTCCTGTGAGTCTGCCTTTCTTCCTCAAGTGTAGTTGATATGGAAAATGAACTTCACAGAACTTAAAGGATTTCCTTGAAAGGAAAGAATGCTGGAGTTTGCTTCTTTCTACTAAAGTGCTTCTTCTTATGAAGTATAACATATATGGTGCTTCTTCGAGAGATGCTGCTTTGGTATAAAACTGACTTGCTGGTCTTTGCTCCTGGTTGCACTGAAGGTGATGGTGTGTGACTGTTCTTCCCCTGGGTCTGTGAGGCTAGCAGCATGTGTACATTTCCAAGGCTATCCTAGGGAGAAAAAAATATAAATAATTAAAAAATCCCAAGCCCCAAAGTCTGGAATTCAAAGTAGAAGATATAAGACTGTTAACAGATGTCTCTCTCTCTCTCTAATACCCCTGCAGCGCTGGTGTTGGTAACAGGTCAGTGATTGCAGTGGTCCGAGAAGAATACATTAGGAACTGGAATAGAGACATGCTCAGTTGGATAGCCACAGGTCGTTTTGAAGCGCTGAAACTTAATGCTTGTTTTTTAAAGTTAGGCAGGTTTCTGGCTAAATACAGCATTTTGTTCTCAGCAAATTGGGCTTTGTTTTTTTTTTTCTTGGCTTCTCTTAGCAGTCAAAGCTTTGATCAAATTAAGCCTGATAACAAAGCATCAGAACTCATGGTGTAGGGCTATGTTTAGAGCATAAATGAGACTAATGTACTGAGATCAGTTTGGACCTAAGTGTGATTTAGCACCATTCAATTTATATTCAAATCTGTTAATTTATATACTTTATTACTTATTACTTCAGTAATGTAGGAAAAGGGTAAGACTTCTCTAATCTGAGTAGGCTGTAGGTATATTATAGCTATATCTTCCCACTTGAATTCTTAGAATGTGCCAAGGATCAATACATGGAAATTATTAGGGCGGAAAGCTTTAATCTGTTATCCTTAATTCTGAGAGATGTGAACTGGAACTGTATTTTTCAACATAATATAGAAGGACTTCTTGGAATGGATGTGTGATGGCAAAGTAATAATTTGTAATGGCAGGTAGGAAGAACGTCCCTTTTAGCCAAGCATTGCTCTTATAGGGTAATAGATACTGTAGGTGTGGATGCATTAGAGATAAGAATTAGCAGTGATTTGACAAGAGAATAAGACTTGCTGTGTCTGGTATTAATCTTATCCTGGTGCCACTGATGTCTAAATGCCTACTTAGTTTTGGTTTATGTACTTGCTATAATGCAAATCAGTTTTTAATGTATAGTCTGGGGAAAAGCTATGCCTCCTGTCCCACCTATTTTAATTCTTGGTTCTCACAAAGATTTAGAAGTCTTGCTGTTAGTCTGCATAGATCATGTCCAAGTCTTGATAAAATACTTGTTTACTGAAAACAGATTACTTTCCAATTCAACTGAGAATGCTAGTTGTTTTGACACTTGATCCTCTTAAGCATTGAGGAGATAACAATCTTTTATTTCTTTCAAAAAAAAAAAAACTAATACTCTGAAAAATAAGTTTCAGTAAAAATTGAACTGACCCTTTGGTATATGTTTTGGAATGGAGTTTGGAGAACCAGGAGAGATTTGAAGCGAAGTGATGAAAGTGCTGATTTTTTTATCCATGTATGAATCAGAACAGCTGTCTAGTAGGGGTTCTGGCACAGTAATTGCCGCAAGTGAAAAGCGATTAAGCTAGTAGAGGAGAAAAATACTGAGGGAGAAGTAAAACCGGATATATTTGGTGGTGCAATGCTCTCCTGTCTAATTTATGCAGAACTGATCCCCAGCTGTCCCCCATGTTTTTTATTGCTGTTAAAATTAATGGCTTTTAATAGCAGCAGATAAAATGGAAGAACAGTAACCTCAAGCATAGTTTCTCTTGTTATATTTATTTCCTACTGTAATTTGTTAAGAAATGCATGGGTTCAGGCAAGAAAGCTTCCATAACTCTTTAATTGACACATTTTCACTTCAGGTTACGTGTCCAACATTGAAAACCTTAGACGATGTGGAGGAGTAAGAGCAGCAACCATGTCAGCTTTGTCCTCAGGAAGCAACTGCAACATTAGAGTGTAATGACAAAAAGAAAATCCCCATATTTCTCAAATTTCCTGGAGTGATTACAGCAATTTGTGCCCAGAAGAGGTCAGAGAACAGTTGCAGCTGCTCATGCCTGCAGCAGGGCACAGCCAGCCTGCAAATCTGAAGGCATATTAACAGGCTGGTGTGATCCCTGAAGGGTAGCTGCTTCCTCTGCACCAGTCAATAATCAGAAACTTTGCCTGGCAGAAAGCAGTAAATGAATGGAGTCGTGCTCGTTTGAAGCCTACTTTTCACAGTTGGCCATGGCTCATTTTATTTTAAGCTGTTGATTACTTCTTGGTGCTTTGGCCTCTCTTTTTGTGCATAATGAATTATGAGAAGTAAATGCTTTCATCAGGAAGGATTTGAGAGTTATGGAGAGCTAAGTCCTGTGTCTTGTTTGCTGATGGACAGCTAGCTTTTTGTTAGGAATTCATCCCTTGGGAGTGTTACTGAGATCCTATGATCCACGCAGCACAGCCAGTCATTTGGTTTCTGTGGTAAAACAGTCTTTACATGAAAGAATGGCTGAAAGACTAAGCTAACAGGAGAAAAAAGTCTGTGTCAGATCCTTGTGTCAGACAGTGGTTTTACTTTTAAAGTTATGCCCAACTGATCTTTGCAGTAATAATATTGCAACTTCCTGAGCCTGCAGAGAAATAGGGGGAAAACTTTTTATCCTTTTAGAGTGTATCACGGACTTCAGTGATGAGGTCTTACTGACATCACTGATCAGCAGAAAAATGGTGGTGTTTGGTCATCTGCCCTTAGGTGTAGCTGGGGGACCCTGGGTGCGATGAAGGAACACTAGCTTTCATTCCCACATCTGGGTGCTACTGGTCCTCTGCTGGGTATCAGCTGAGAAACCTGTTGCCATCACGATCCAGAGGATTAAACCAAGTGAACAGCAAATCCCAGGGCATTGACTGGCCACCAGAGCTGGGGCTTTGGCTCCTGACTTTAGGTTTCTCCCACAGCACATTGGGCTTCTGAATCTGCTGGAAAACAGAGTCTGAAGGTGAGAGCTTCACCCTCCGGAAGAATGGGTTGTGTTAAAGCCCTCCCTGCTGTGGATGCTTATTCTCTCTCTGCAAGTACAAATTCTGGGATGCATCAGGGGTGAAAATTTAAAATGAATACCTTTTCTTCCCCCTGCTGTTAGTAATTTTTTAAAATTTCAAATATATAGAGAAAAATACCTTAGTGGAACAGCTTTGCAACTCCTTCCAATAACCAAATCCCTCTTCTGCTTTTTCCCTGGTTATAAGACAGTGTGCAGTTCGTGCCACAGGAAATGTTGCTTTGTTCATCAGATGATTACAGTGAATTACTAGGAGATGCTTAAGCCATACAGCACTTGGGAGCTGAGCAATTGTGTGTTGAGGCTTTTCTTTTGGCCTAAGGGCGAAGACTCCGGTGTTGGATACACACTGGTGCTTCTGAAATGCAGGCTGGGGAAAAAAGCATCCCAGGCCAGTTTCTGCTAGCAGTAAGTAACTTGTACTCCCTGAGTATTGTAGGATTGAGCTTAAAGTAGGGGGGAGTTTGCAGTTCTTGGGTGTCCAAATCTTGGGAGTGCTGAGCTTCCAAAAAAGTTGAGCTGTGTGTTCCCTTTGGGGTTAGGGGGTGCTGCTACTCCTGTTACAGCCTCTCATATTGTGAAGCGCTGCTGATATAATCCGGGGTGGCTTGGGTGGTCTTTGCTCCCCCTTGGATCAGGCCTAGCAGTGTAGTAGAGTTTAGTTTTTGCTAGATCCTCATCTAGCAAATGGATTGTCAGGTAACTAAGTCAGTTCATGGCATCCAAATAAATTGTGGGGTAACTAAACCAGTCTGCTAAATTAGTCATTTAAAGACTGAGGTGTCTGGCCCCA